GTAAGGGGAAGTTGGAGAATCGACGTGTTTAAGATGGAGGAGGAGGAGGAGGAGGAGGAGAAGGAGGAGGAGGAGAAGAAAGAGAGGAAAGATTGCTGGGTCAAGGGTGGAAGAGACTGCCGTCGTCCCTCGATTAGAGCGCACGGTCATTATACCTATGGTAGCTGCATTTGGGGCAACTGTCAGTCTACATACAGCGATAATGACCGTGCGTTCAATTCGGGGGAGAGGGTGTGGAGAAAGTGGGCCTAGGCGCAAGTCCCGAGGAGCCGTGAATAATGTCGAATGCATCTTCTTCATATAGGTGGTGACCGCATACATTGGCGAGTATGAATAGCGGAGATGTATCTGTCCCCCTTTCTACGTGAAAATCCACTCGGCATTTTTCACACTCCCTGAGAGTAGTGCTGCCAGGCCCAATGGCTGGCTGGCTGGTTTTGCTGACCTCTTATTGGGGTTAAAGAGGTCTGTACTCGGTCTTTCCATTCCTGGTCCCACTGTGTATTTAATGGGACCGTCTGGGCCCAGCTGGTCCCACTGTGTATTTGATGGGACACTAACTGGGAGGGGCTGGTCCCAGCTGGTCCCAGCCGGTCCCAGAGTGTATGTAAAAGCCCAGCTGGTCTGGTCCCCCCGTGTATTTAATGGGATGGGCTGGACCTAGGTGGTCCCATTGTATTTAGTGGGACCGGCTATGCCCAGCTGGTCCCACTGTGTATTTGAGGGGACACTGGCTGGGAGGCAGGTCCCAGCTGGTCCCAGAGTGTATGTGATGGGCGCAGCTGGTCTGGTCCCACTGATGTCACAAACATCAGTCAAGGTGAGACACACATGAGTTTCAGATCACACATAGAGTGTAGCATGAGCACATCACACCACACAGGAGAGAGACTTAGAACCGAGCCCAGGTAAGCGTAAAAAATAAGAATGAAGTACAGACGCGATTCAGGCGATGAGACCCTACACCATGTTTCTGCCGATCGCCTGTCCGGCTTCGTCAGGGGTCAACTGATACCTAGCGCAAGATGAAAAGGGAGGTCTACCCGAATACTACTTATATCTACGTTCGGACCGTCAACATCCGAAGTCACTAACAATTCAGCTGACAGTATTATAGAAATCGTAGGAAGAAACAGGAAATACCCACAATCCTTGGCTCGCCAGGTCCCACGTTCAAGTGGTCACAGATCCAAAGGCCTACGGTTTACCGGAAGAGTTACAGGTCCCCAGTTCAAGTCTCGCCTATTGGTATCCGATTTTTACAGTACTAGAGAAAAAGTAGGTCGAGGGCTCAAATTTGCGTAGCAAAAGAGAGCTGTCCGCAGATCGAATAAGAAAGAGAAACAAGAGGTTCACAGTTCAAGCCTACGAGAGAGAATAAGTAATAAAACAGAAAAATGTCCACCCTATTTTATAAAGTACCAATTTGTAAAGCAGCGTACCCAATGGCTCCAACAGTTATTCATCCGAGAGGAAAAGTGGGTTAAACACTTATCAAAATATTCATCCGGAAAATTCCTAGCTTGTAACTCCATCTTCAGAGTGAACAGGAAACATGCATCCGCCCCCGGAATCGTGGTCAATGCTTTTACGCGATGCAGGCAGGCAGTAATAACCGACATTTTCTGCTGCTTATCTGAGTACGAACCAAAGTCTTGCAAGCTCTGGAACCGAATCCCTTCATTGAGGATACACCGTTCATTCTTGTGGATCGCAGCAGCAAGCACTTTACATGGCTTGCTAAAGACCTTGATAACACAACCTAAAAAGTCCCAGGTATCTCCACAATTCGTCATCTCCAAAACCAAATTGTCGTCATAGCAAGTTCGAAACTTAGCGAGTCGATTCTTAGCAGCAGTTAAGCTACGTTCGGAGCCCACTTGATATTTCGACAAAATTGAGACATTATCCACTAGCCTCATCCCAAAAAGCATCTTCCGTTCATTGCCCAGTTGCTGTAGAAAATCAAATTCGATAAAGGCACATAGGAGGCAGGCCAACGCCGGGCTTGATGGTTTCCCCATCGGGATTCTTATAACACCAATAGCGGATATATACGAGTTGCCAAGATCAAGCATCACCAAATTCAGCAGTTCATCTAAACGAAGGCGGAAATAACCAGCAGGTCAGATTTTCCTTCTTCCTAGTATAGCCCCTTTTCCCCGTTTTCTGACAAAACATATCATTAACACCCTTGACTTCGTAGCTATGAATCAACCATTCAACTGCTCGAATAATGGAAGCATGCGGAAGTGCAGTAAACATCTCTTTTACGTCGAAGCTTGCGGCGAGCACCTTTTCATCTGGCTGGATACTGTTATTAAGATGAGAATCTACAGGAAGAGTCCATAGCATTTGATTCACCGCTTTTGAGATCACATGACTAACACGTACCAGAGGGTCTGAGAAAGAGGGACAAATAGGTCTCCACTTTTCTACATTCTTATGCTTTGGTATGACATATGACTTACCCAGATTACCCTGCCTATTAAATGTAACAGCCTTACTACTTTTAAGTTTTTGAAACCTAGTACTTATTTCTTTGATGACCGTTTGCTCTGATTTAGGCATCACCTCAAAACCTACATTCTTAGTGAAGAGTGCTTCCATCCCTTTTTGAAAGATCAGAGGGCAGCAGGCGAAACTGTCTCCTGCATTATGATCGATAGGGCATACTACTAACCTTTCTATCCGTTGTCCAACTCTCTGCAACTCTACCAAACTGTCATTGGATGTTTGTTCACGTCTATTATTATTAAAACAACTACGCAACTGAGAATTAGAAATTGAGAAGGTTTGAGTGCTATCTTGGATACTACCCAACCCATCAAGAATGCAGCTCTTAAGATTTTTCAGATTCTGACGGAAGGCCGGGCATACGACATTCTTATTGTTGCGTGCAAAACTCGGAATCCATGCTTCTTCACTAAATCGAAAAGCAACATGTCCATCACATCGCGGTAAGTCCAACTTGTCACATGAGCAGGAAAATGCGGATTGTCTCGAGAAATCTCGGAAATTCAGCAAAAGATCACCAACGGACTTATTCTTGACCCAGACAACACGTAGCTTCCTACACGCTATCTTTTGTAAAGATGGATGAATAGAAGAGGATCGAATAGTAGATAGGCACAGATTCCTAACGCGCTTCTTTGACAGGTTTGAAACAAAGGGCAACTTTACAGTAACTCTAATTCTAAGTTTGACAGAAAAACGATTCTTAACAATGCGAGCTATAGTCACCCGTAAGCTGGCCCTAGTTTCCTTCCTTGAGAAACAACGAACACAATTATAAAGTGATAGTAGCCTATCGAACGGCTCACGATACAATTTTTTGCACTTCGCGGGGCTGGCCAAAATTTCTGTCAATTCTCCTTTTAACCTTTCAAATTTGGAGCAGAACCGCGAGATTTTGACAAAATTAAGCCTAGATCCTGATACCAACTTTTCCCTGCAGTGTTTAAATAGTTCTGTGCCACTCTCCGTAGTCACCACTGATGATCCATAACATCGTTTCAAAATACTCCACCGGTTAATCAGAACATTGCCACTCACGCGTCTCACCGTGACCGTGCGAATGTGTCTACGAAAGCAATCGTTGAGAATTTCCTGGATATTGGTAGAACTAGTCCCAATCGAAGACTCAAATATGCATGGGGCTTTAGTCACAGTCGAAGACCCGTACTCGTATCTAGTGCGCTCTCCCTTCCGTCTGCGTTCCTGTTTCCCTGGTCGGGATTTTCGTCTTTCTTTTCGTCTTCCATAAGTAGAGATGCAGTTAAGGAAGGGGTTAAATAGACGAATAAAGTATGCTTCGGTCTGCAATAGCTGATCGACACTGGAGCACGCGATAGGAACTGCCACATATCCCCCAATCTGGCAATGTCTGAGCCATCTGTACAACCTTATGGTTACGTACATTCGAATTTAATGGAGCATTGACCCTCCCAATATGTTCCTTCCACCTACACAGGACAGAGCGTGACGAGCATCCTATGTAAACATGTCTACACCATGGTGAGAGTAGTACATACACGACCGGACCCGGGCATGTAACGAAGTCGTAGCTTATAGATAATAAATAGCGTAAGAACGGAATAAATTTTATACACCAAGGAATTTGTCCAAGAAGAATCAACAAAATCACAGTTATCCGAAAAACGTTGTCGATATTACCGTCCTTTAGCAGTCCGTAGAACTCACGTGCATCTCTACACACAAGAGCGAGATCAGATAAATCTCCCACGCTCAGCAACCAACCTTAACATCCTTCAGAGTTCCCCTCGTCACCCTCGATTTCTGTACTCTGTCCCGCAAGGTCTTCCGATTCTTCAATAACCTGAACATCATTGTCATCGAGAGTTCTCCTTCTTTCATATTTGCCGAAAGCCTGATCCGTATAGATCGCTGCAATCTCCTTCGACGAAGCTTTGATAGTCACATAGGTGACTTTTTCATCATCGCATAGCTTCTCGATGTCCTTTTTCTTCAATTTCGCCAACTCAACAAAAACTCTTCTACGGAAGGATTCCCTGTCCTCGTTCTCTTGGACGGCAAACCCGGTATGTGCTTGTGCATTGGACTGTGCTTCTGGTGATTTGCTTGGAGTGACCGCCTTCCTCAGTCTGATCCGCAGATTAGACGGTGACCCACTCTTCCGTGTAGCACGTTTTCGTTTCGTGCTGACAGGTGGTGGGGTAACCACCATACTAATACGCCCAATTCTTTCCTTTAAGGCCTGCACCTCCCGTTCCGCCATATCTTTCTCGTCTCGTACTCGTCTGTAGGCTTCCGATAGTTTAACATAGTCGCCCGGTGTAGGGGTGCTAGTACTCGTAGCATTCCCCGTACCTGCCGGGGCACTTCGCCTCGAGGCTTCAGGCCCAGGTAGCGACTTGCTCCTCTTAAGCTGGTCCACCTGTTGTTTCAAGTACATCACGTCTTCGATCAAGTGCTGGTTGTCCGATCGCAAGGACTGAATCTCGTGCTCTGTGCTACTAACTTGGTTCGTCTTCCGCTGAAGATCTGCCATGGCCTGTTTCAGCTTCAAGATCTCCTCATCCTTCCTTTTTCCCACGTCATCTTCCGACAGTTTCTTGGATTGATCGCTTGATTTTCCTCGAATCTCCTCCGTCGTTAATGCGATGAAAGGTTCCCTGATATTCACCGGCTTCCCCAAAACTTCCTCACACACTTGCTTCATCTGGTTGCTGACCATGCGTCCAATGCTCGATTTGAATTCCTCCTTTTCCTTCTCCTTCTTGCATTTTTTCTCCTCCGCCTCATTCTTCCTTCTCAACTCTTCCTCTCGTTTTGCAGCCTCTTCTTTCTCTTTCTTGATCTTCTCCCGTTCTGCCATCTCAGTAGACATCCATGTCCACATGCGTTCCACCTTATCATTACGATAATCCGGATTACACGGCCTTCTTCCGTTATAGCCACCGTAGTAGCTGCCGTTGTAACCGCCGTTGTAACCACCGTTGTAGCCACCACCGTTGTAGCCACCCGATGATACACCGCTATTGAATCCCTCGTATCCGCCGGACAAACCGCCACCATTAGAGCCACCACCACCATTTCCAGTACTCCCTTGATTGACACGTACATCTTGAGATTGTTCCTGGTAGGGAACAATAGCACCTGGAGCCGGCAAAATTGGAGCCGAATTGGAGGAAGACGCCTGGTTTCCTTGATTGAACTGATTAGCCTGCTGTTCCATATCGCGCATACGCGTCCGATATTCCCGAACAAAATGTCAAGTCCTTCGACAGTAGTGGCACACGGGACGATCCATGATCAGAGGAATGAAGAGAAGAGAAGGGAGAGAAAAGAGAAAAGGAGAAAAGAAAGAAAGAAAGAAAGAAAGAAAGAAAGGGAAGAGGAAGAGAAGTGAGGTGGTATCTTGGGGGCTCACAATAGCAGAGGGATAGTAACAGTAGTAGCAAAAAGAAGTGCAAATGATATTGCAACCACAGGGGTTCGTGTAAGTGGGAGTAGAGGAGAACGTATTCACACAATCGTAGTGTAATTGCTACGCTGGTTCATACGTGCACTAATGTCACAAACATCAGTCAAGGTGAGACACACATGAGTGTCAGATCACACATAGAGTGTAGCATGAGCACATCACACCACACAGGAGAGAGACTTAGAACCGAGCGCAGGTAAGCGTAAAAAATAAGAATGAAGTACAGACGCGATTCAGGCGATGAGACCCTACACCGTGTTTCTGCCGGTCGCCTGTCCGGCTTCGTCAGGGGTCAAC